ACTTGCTCTGATTATTTTGTTTCCTCTCCTTTCAAATATCACTGTTGTTCAAAGCAATAGTACAAGTAGTCCTTGACTTATACCATTCATTTAGTGATCTTTTGAAATTATAATGGCACTGAAAAAAAGTGACATGACCAGAGGTGGTATTAGCAGGTTCTGATCACTTCTGGAGAACCAGTAGCGGAAATTTTGAGTAGTTTGGAGAACCGGTAAATACCACCTCTGACTGTCCCCACCCCCATCTAGTCTCTGCCTCCCGAGACCCAGCTGATCGGGAGGAAATGGGGATTTTGCAGTAACCTTCCCCTAGTGTGGGGAGAGAATGGAAATTGCACAGTATCCTTCCCCTGCCATGCCCATGCCACGCCCACCAAGCCTGCAATGCCATGCCCACCAAGCCACGCCTACAGAACCAGTAGTAAAAAAAATTGAATCCCATCACTGCTTATGACTGGTTTTCACACTTACAACCATTGCAGCATTCCTATGGTTACGTGATCAAAATTAGACGCCTGGCAACAGGCATATATTTTTGGCAGCTGCACTGTCCCAGGGTCTTGTCATCACCATTTGTAACCCTCCCAGCCAGCTTCTGACAAGCAAATGGGGACAGCTAGATTCACTTAACATTAACATTTCAGTGATCTACCTAACAACGGTGGCAAAAAAGATCATAAAATGGGACAAAACTCACCTAACTTAGCAATGGAAATTTTGGGCTCAATTGTGGCCATAAGTCGAGGGCTACCTGTATATGGGAAATATGGATTTGTTCCTCTTGCATATGGAGTTTAACATCCCAAAGTGCTTACTAGATCATTTTGGTTAGTTCATTCAGTTGTTGACTCTTGAGCTTTGTTCAGAGGCAGGTAGGAACTTTCACCATTTTACCCTATTCAGAAACATTGGTTCTGGGAGGTTTTTGAAGATAAGGAGTAGTGACAATTATTTAATTTGCATTAAGGAATCTGTTCATTTTGGAAAGGAAAAACATCCTAACAGTGAGAACAATTAACCAGTGGAACAGCTTCCCTTCAGAAATTGTAGGCACTCCATCACTGGAGGCTTTCAAGAAGAGACTGGACAGCCACTTGTCTGGAATGGTATAGGGTCTCCTGCTTAAGCAGGGGGTTGGACTAGAAGACCTCCAAGGTCCCTTTCGGCTCTGTTCTGATTGATTATTGTCTCTTGTGGCCAAGGCCCTGCAAATAAGGTAGGTCATAGGTACAAAAATCATTTAATATTGGCCACCTGAGCAACTGACACTGAAAGCAGCATCAGGCTAGGTCGCAAAGTTCAATAGCAGTAAAAATAGTTCTTCGGGTGACTTGATGTTTTTATCTTCTGATTTCTAGTTCTTACCAAGTGATTGTCATTCCTGGGATTCCACTCTGCAACTTTAATTGCTACTCCTTGACCAACCACTCCTACTTCACCAAAGGTTCAGAATCTGGTAGCTACGTGACAGCTGAGTTCTCAGCCAAGAGCATCCCTGAGAACAGGTTGACCTTTGTTCTCGGAGACCGACTATATTATGGAGGATTTTATAATGCTCCCTTGAAACCAAGAAAAGCGTATTGCATTGTACTTAGGACTGTCAGCAAGTGGAATTGGGTATGAAGACTCTTAAAATTCTTCCCATTTTTTTTTGCTCCTTTTATATTTGCATTTCCACAGATTGCTAGGCAGCTTACAAAAGAGAAGTTGGCAATGAAATGAATTGAAAACAAAGGCTTTTTAACATGACCATGCCAAAAAGAACATAATAGTATTTAGAAGAATGCAAAACAATCAAAACTATTTACGAAAGAATGTAAAAAGGTGTTTACCTGCCTCTTTTAAGACCAAGAGAGATTTCAGTTAAATTGAAGTGATATTAGCTCAGGCAGCACTGGTAATAAACTCCATTTGCAAGGTCATGATAACTTCAGACAATCACTAAATGAGGCAGTTGGTAAGTGAAGTGAATTTTTTTAAAAAAAAATCAATAATTAGAGCATGACCACCAAATGGATCACCAATCAAACCTTCAATCCCAGGATCCTTAAGAGTCAGAATATATTTACTGTCAGGGATATGTGGGAACAAGGGCAGGATCATGCTTCTCCCCCATTTGATAAGACCTCTCCCCTGCCCCCCAAAGTCAAGTTCAGATGATACTAAATTGACCTGTTAGTCAACTCAATATTGATATATTGGGATGTTATGTTGACCCCTTTCTATTATTTCTCTGTTTTGATTTTTTTTTTAAAAAGTACAGAAGCCCAGGACAGGAAATGTGATGCGACCTGTTTTAAGATTCCAGATGGAGGTAGTCTGTGATCAAGTACAATTGTTTCCAAGGTTATTTTATAGAGAGAGAAAAAGAAACTGAGTATTCAATACATTTAAGATGGTATAGGTAGTCTTCACTTACCAACTGCCTCATTCAGTGACCATTTGAAGTTAGGATGGCATTGCAAAAGTAGGTTTATAACCTGTCGTCATAGTGCTCCTGTGATTGCCATTTGGGCATTTTGTAACTTGTCACAGTTTCTTGCAGTAACATGATCATAGTTTGAGTATTTTGTGATTGGCACATTTTTATGATGGTCTCAGCATCCTGCGGTCAGGTGAAACTAAGGATCAGATCAATTCTAATTTTCATTTTAATGAATATGCATGAAAAATGAATATGTAAAATAGCATTTTAATGCTTTGCATATTATGGCGGAGTGCCATGCAAAAATATAGAAATTATGTGAAATACATACAAATATTTTTTTCAAAGAAGTTTTAAATTTAAGTTATGAGACTGAGTAGAGAAATGTAAGATGTTATATAAGAAAGTGAGGAGCACACACATTCTAAAATTGAAAGATCTCCACATCCTTATGAGGATTAAGAGTTTTTTATGTATTGAGAAAAAAAAATACATTACATGTCTTTTTTCCCTCAGATGAGAACGCAGTCCTGTGTAATATGGGCCCATATTAGAGGTAGGTTTTCTACTGATAAAATAGTACTGGGTTGTTGAGGCAGGGAGACAAAATGATAGGGGGGGGGGGGAAGAAACTTGTCCAAGGATACACACAAGAGCAATTCACACAGGAACAGATCTTTACGAAATATTTTTTTCTTCTAAATTGTCAAGTGAAGCATTAATAATAACAGTTTATTACCACCCCCACACTGCTGTAAATCTAGATTTAGGAGATAGACACATTAACATCAATAACACCATTACAAATTTCTAAACAAGTTACATTCATATGATTTGATGCTGGTAAAACTCCTCCAGAAGCTGCAGAATATGGAGCATTTTCAGGAGATAGATTAGACAGAGGGCAAGTTTATGTGTTGCTCGGCCCAATTCAAAAATCTTTTCAAGCAAATTACGAGAGAAAAAGAGAGAAAGGTGTCATCTTTCTACCCTCATCTTTGCTTGCTTCAGCCCCACTGAACATTGACATTCAATGAAACCAGTTCTTTGCATTAAATGCTGAAAGGCTTGCGTAGGAAGCTAGATAGCATTGGCTCAAATGCCTTTTGTGCCATGCGTCAGGTGTTACACACATCCCAGGTTCAGTCTGTGGTTGCTCAGTCACGCAGTCACAATCTGTTGAGGCATACAGAATCTGTAAACCTTCCCATTCACCTTTCTACCTGGGTTTTCCAGATAGATGTAGCTAGAGTAGACAAGACACATAGCCTGGGTCAACAGCTGGGAGATAATTAGGAACACATGCAAATCACTAACCCCACAATTGATAGAAAAGCTACGAGTGGTGCAAAGAGCCATGAGAAGATACATGCTTGGCATTACAAGACAAGACAGAAAGACCTGCACATGGATTAGAGAACAAACGAATATCAAGACAGTAAAAGAATTGAAATGGAAATGGGCTGGTCACATAGCAAGAACTGATGGCTGGTGAACCAAGGCAGTCATAGAATGGATCCCACTTTGATAAAAACCATCCACGAAAGAGACCTAAAAGAAGATGGATCAACGACATCAGCAAGTATTGCAGGGACCCAATTTGCAAAAGAAAGCTCAGGATCGTATGGGTTGGACACACACGGAAGAGGTCTTCATACTTCAGTGGATAGACGCTGGCTAAAATTAAAATCACTTTCAACTAAACACTAAGGCCTAGGTCTATGCAACACATTAAAAGAAAATGCTGTTTGCTAATTTTAAGTCCAGTCAACAGAAATCTATACTGAAAACTAGTTCCCTCATCCTCTAGGGAAGTGATGTCAAACCTTTTTATCGTTGTGTGCTGAAAATGCACCTACGCGTGCGCCCACACCCATAATGCAATGTGTCCGTGACACCCCCCTGCATGCACACACACACCCGCGCATGCACCCCCGTGCCCTGTTTGGGGCCTAGCAGGCCTCCTTGCAGTCTCCTGGGACCAAAAATGGGTCATGGAGGGGAACGCCACCCCCCCCCGTGCTCCCCCCAACCCCAACACATGTGCATGTGTCTCCTTATGCCCCCCACACCCTGCACGTGCAGCAGAGACCACGAAAATCAGCCGGCTGGTGGGAGGCGCACACCCATGTGTGCTGCACCTAAGCTGGGGTGATGGTTCGTGTGCCCGCAGAGAAGGCTGCATATGCCATAGGTTTGCAGCTCTAGGGTTTCCCTCTCAATGTATTAAATATAGACCATGATATGTCCCATTTAATTGTAGGAGAAGAGCTATGTTAGCCTGTGGTGTCGCAAAATTAGGAGTCTGATGGCACCTTTTCCAACTAACAAATGTTATTAAAAGGCATAGCTCTCTTTGTCGGATGCAGCCGAGTGGCTCAACTGATGTAAGATTGAAATTGCAATGAGGATGAAATTGTCAGTGGGCAAATGTTTTGTGGATTGCTCGAATATCTTTTCTTTAAGGAGGACAGTTTGCACAAGTTGTAATTTGATGGTGGTTAAAAATCCTGAACTTCCTTTGCTTATCTCTTGATGAACTTTCCTGTCCCCCGGAAACAGTTCAGGTTTTCGACTCACTGTTGTTTTTAATTTGTTTTTGGAGGTAATCGCATCTAATAATCTTTGTACCTAAGAGATAGCCTTCACGTCAGAACAAGGAGCCTCTCAATTTAATTTTGCCACCAACTTTGATATTCTTCCCATTTTAATAACGACTAAAAGGTTACACGCCGTACTGATGATGGTTTTTTGCTTGTACTTTAATTGTACAGCTTGTTCAGTGCAAATTGCAGATCAGAGAGGAGATTTCTGGCAATTCCCACTGCAAAGCATGGGAAAACAATAGTGTCTATGTGTATCTCAAATGGTTACAGACCTTTGCTAAATTCCTTTATTACATGTTACATGGCAAATGTTGTTTTATTTTTTCTTTCTTTCAGATATATCATTTCCAGTACAGCACTTGACTATTGTTATTTTAAGCTCAGTTGCTGCTATCAGTACCATCTTTTTATTATTACTCTGCCTAGCATGGTAGGTAACGTTAAGTGACCTATATGTTATTTAAGCTCAAAGATCAGTTATTCCTTTCACAATGAATGCAAGATAAGCAATAAGCTGGAGAGAGAGAGAGAGAGAGAGAGAGAGAGAGAGAGAGAGAGAGAGAGAACTTTACAGTGCTTAATTGCCCCCCACCCCAACAATCTGGGTCCTCATTTTACTGACTTTACTGACGAACGGTGGAAGGCTGAGTCAAGCTTGAGCCATTCAGGATCGAACTGCTGCAGTCAGTACAGTTAGGCTGCAATACTGCATGCTAGTCACTGCACCAGTGCAACTATACATAGACATTAGACAGCACTATGAGAATTAGGTGTACATCACATTGATGGCGCAAGGGAAAATCCTATTCCTGTTGTTTTGGAATGCAATGCCATCCCGAGGGGAGGAGTTGAAACAGTTTATGTCCAGGATGTGAGGGGTCCATAGATATTGTCTCAGTTCTCCTTTTGCAATATATAGCATATGTGTGATATACAATATATGCAATATACTATCAACCTCGTCTGTCTGTCTGTCTGTCTATCAGTCTGTCTACCTACCTATCTACCTACCTACCTATCCATCTCTATGTCTATGATCTATCTATCGAATCTATATTAAATGACTACTATGAAGAGCGATATAAAATTAGCTGTAAACATTTAGCTATTAATTTTTCTAGTGTATTATAAAAGTATATATTCATGTAGAACTCTTTTAAAAGGATCTGCCTTTATGTTTTACTTTTCAAAATTATTATTTGTGTGAATCTTGTAAAATATTATCACTGGAAACATTATATTCTGCTGTTTAATAAGGGATTCAGACAGATCATATATTTGTCAGCCAAACAAACATACCAAATGTTGCTGCTGAGAAAACTAAGCTGCTCAAAATATCTGAGTGGCTACATTTGCATTTGACTATTGACTGATTTTGTAACTTTGTCTTATTTTCTGTATTTCTGTGTTTCAACTGGTTTAACTGGGCTTAACGTTTTTCATCCTTTCTCCAATGTTTCTCCGACTCCTCTCTGCAGCAGCACATTCAACTCCAGCTGAACCACCAAGAAAATGTTTGTTTGTTTTTGATAGACTGGATATTTATCAACTGCTATCAATACTGCCCAAGAAAGCAATGCATGGTTCTGCAAATGCTTTTGTCTAATAGATACAACTCCTGATCATTTGGAAGAGAATAAAAACAAGACAGAAATACAGAGCTATCCTTCAGTGCTCAAGAGGTGGAAACCCCTTGTGCAAAATATCATCTCCTGTCTTCTCTCGTTTAAAAATAGGTTTTCATACCTTGTTTTCTTCATGTAATTTTCAACCTTGAAGCTTGTTATGTTTGTTAACACACATACACATTTTACATCCAGAGCGTGTGTGTCTTCTGTTTCAGTTCATGTTAAGACATTGAATTTATTTTTGGATGGGGAGTTACTAAATATTTTTAAATAAGAATCTTTAGTAACTCTTTAAAAATAGAACATTTATGTTAGAGGGCCAAGTTAAAACCAGAAATACGCATTTCTGAAAATGAGTTAAAGCTGAATTTGTTTTCCTTTGAAAGTAAGAGGACTTTTCCCTTTATTTCAATAATATCTATCCTTACTTTTGTAATTTGGATCCACTCATTAGGTGTACATTTCTACTGCGTTGTTTAATGGGACTAGGCTAAAAATATGTGGGGTTTAAAAAAAACCATTCTCATAACTTTCAGAAAATTTTACTACTTTCATAATTTGCAAAAAAGCTAAATTTGGTGAAATTTTCATTTCTCGAGAACTTTACAGTATTTTGTAGCCTCCCACAGTTCCCACATTGCACTTCAAATTATCTTGAATATCTTTCAAAGTTTTTTTTAAAGATGAGAAGCATGGGTAGAAAGCAAGAAGAAATGGTATTAATTTTAAGACTTATGATTATTAGCTTTCAAGGATTACGGAAGGCAGTGAGAGATTAGACTCACGTCTTCAACCCTCTGGATGTCCTGGAGATTTAATCCATCCATTTTAAAGCTTTAAGTGAAAAATGTAAAACTTACATTAATTTTCTCTTTAAATTGAAAATGCTAAAACTCCCCTATCAAAAATTCTATTTTGCTATTCAGTTGACATTCTTGGACATTCTGTTGCCTTGGGCTGTAACTTGCTAATTCCTGGTATTCCATGATCTGCAAAGAAAAAAAAAAACCATTACATTTTCCGTTCAAAAGTGAAATTGTTTCCAAAAGAAAAGAAAACAAAAAAGCAACCAAAAGAATTTTCCAAGCAAAATACAATACAATACAATAGCGGAGTTGGAAGAGACCTTGGAGATTTTTAGTCCAACCCCCTGCCTAGGCAGGAAACCCTATACCATTTCAGACAAATGGCTATCCAACATCTTCTTAAAGACTTCCAGTGTTGGGGCATTCACAACTTCTGGAGGCAACTTCTGTTCCTCTGATTAATTGTTTTAATTGTCAGGAAATTTCTTTTGAGTTCTAAGTTGCTTCTCTCCTTGATTAGTTTCCACCCATTGCTTCTTGTTCTACCCTCAGGTGCCTTGTAGAATAGTTTGACTCCCTCTTTTTTGGGGCAACCCCTGAGACATTGGGACACTGATATCATGTCTCCCCTAGTCCTTCTTTTCATTAAAAACTAGACATACCCAGTTCTTGCAACCGTTCTTCATATGTTTTATTCTCCAGTCCCCTAATCATCT